GAGGCCTAAGCTTATCCAATTTGAAAAAAAAAAAAAAAAGATAAAAAATTATGAATACAAAATCTGCATCACCAAAGCCCCCCAGTGTTAAAAGAATATTAAGAAAAGCATAACACAGGGTAGAGTGGTAATGCAGAAAGAGAAGATGTTCATAATTAATTGACATTAAAAACACACTTTTCTATAAAATTTTATAAAAACATATGACCATGAGAACATATTTTAGAGTCCCTACCCATGCTAGAAGTCCATGCAAGCCCAGAGTTTTTAATTTAAGCTTTATTTCAGCTTCTTGGTCTATCTAGCTCCTTACTAAACACTCAATTCCTAAGGTTAGTAATTTCTAAGCCATCTATCCAATCATATTGCTGGAGATTAATTTTTCTAAGATGAAATTCTAAACACATTCCTTCACTACTTGAAAAACTTTCTTGCCAATAGTGTAACTGGCACAAATCCCTCCATGATATCACCTCCCCCTACTTCTCCAGCCTCATTCTCTGTTGTTCCAGACATGCTGCATTATTTACAGTTCCTCGTAATGTTATTTCAATCCTGCCATACCTTAGCAGATGCTCTTTCCTCTAACTAAAATACATTTCCTTCTCTTTTCCAGCTAACAGATTTCTACTCCTGTTTCTTCTATCTCAGCTTACCTGTTCAAGGCTTCCCAGACCTAACAATAGAGTTGACAGCAAGCTCTTTAGCTACCTTGCCTCCAATACTGCACTTACCACTTGTTATAAGGACTCATTCACTGTGTATTTTCCCTGATAATTTAAGAGCTTGTTCAGGGCAGAGATCTTGCAAGCTGTCCTAGCCATCTTTCCTCAATGTCTGCATTAAGTACTTCCTAATCCCTAGCTGAACAAATGAATGAAAAAGGAGGAGAAGCAAGTATGCCAAAAGGTAATTTTTGTTGCTTTTGGTTATTGATATGTTAGCAATTTTTTACCCTTATTTTAAAATTTTGTTATGCGGCTCTATTTGCTTTATAAGAGAAAATCTAATTTACAATAAAACTTTTATTTGAGACTTCCTCTAATATTCATTAGCTCTGCTACCTAATTCTCTTAAAACTCTGCACACCTGTGCCAGGCTTATTTATATGGCCAATAGTCTACTTTACTTGAAATCATATTTCGATCCCTCTACACAATTAGCTAAATAAATATCCTTAGTGCAGCTTCATTAAAGTGTATTTTTCTTAAATATTTCTCAGTCTACATATTTCTCAGTAAGTGAGCATCTATTAGAGTTTTGGCAAGAAAAATCTTATAATGGACTTATTTCTGTAGGTATATATTTCAAGCACTAACCGAAAGGGATAATTTTTTTGCCATTTTATTCCATTTTATTTTATTCCAATAAAATAGTGATGGATACTACAAGACCCAAATTCTGTTCATATGCATGAAGCCATGTTTCTGAATCACTACTATACTCCCTATCTCTCACCTAGGATGCACTAAAGAATTGTTTTTAAAAAGAAAATATCCAAAATAATGTGATAATCCCCCTAAATATAATTCTCATTGAAACTGAACATATTTTAATCCTTTTTTAGGAAAGCTGTCATTACCATTATCCAGTAAATGCCTGCAGAGACTTTATAGCACACATTCTACCCTTTTTCTTTTGTATGATTTAAATATGCTGTTTTATTACACATTGTTTAAATATGCTCTACGTGAAGCAGCCCACAGACACATAGCACATTTAGACATGAATACAGGTTAAAAGCACCAGAAATGCAAGCCACAGGCCATAGGAATAATATCACCAAATTAGAGTTGAGGCCATTTTGGCAGCTTCAGAGCCGTTTGAATCCTGGTAGAACTTAAACCCTGGTTCAGGTATAAGCTTGGTTTCTAGCCTATGGTATAATGGCATTACACTGGACCTCTCCACAAACATGTTCCTGTTTCTCCTTTGTATAAGGCATTGTTCTGAGTTCCTGCAATGAGAGACCTTATAGCTAAGTATGAGCTTTTTTCCAGGATGGACCCATGCCTTCACGAGGCTGGCTTGGTTGTTTAAAGGAAAGACAGTATTCTCATTGCACAAGGCTGCATGCAAGATTCATTTGAGATGAGGTGTAGTACAGCAGGAAGAATGCAAGATTTAGAGTCACACAGCTGTGGAATCCCTGCACTAGCAATTCGAGATCTGTGTGAAACTGAGGTCATTGAGCCTCTTTGAACCCTGGTGTTATGGGTTGAATTGTACAACCTTCCCCTCCCAAATTTATATGTTGAAGTCCCAACTCCCAGTATGTCAGAAGGTGACATTTGAAAATAAGGTCAATGCTATAAGTAGTTAAGATGATGTCATTAGTGTGGGCCCTAATCCAATATGACTGGTGTCCTTATTTTTAAAAAAAAGAAAAGAAAAGAAGCAAATTTGGACATAGAGGTAGATGTTCATAGTGGAAAAATGACGTGAAGAGACAGGCAGAAGATGCCATCTACAAGTCATGGAGAGGGAAGAGATTCCTCCCTGACAGCCCTCAGAGAGAACCAACCCTGCCAAACCTTGACTTTAGACTTTGATCCTCCAGAATGGTGACACAATAAATTTCTATTGTTTAAGCCACCCCCTAGCAGACTAATAAACCTGGTTTCCTCAGATATCAAATCCTTCATGTAAAGCATGTAGTGCCATTATAAAGATGAAAAACTACATTAAGAGGTACTAAAAAGAGGATAGGCAATATTTATCATTTAGGATATAACATTTGAAGTATTTTATTTCATATCCTTGAATCTTGCTTCTCTCCCCATTCAGGCAGCCAAACTGCTATACTCTGAACTCGTAGCATTAGAAAATCATTGGAAGAGCAGGGGAGCACGGTGGTGGGGGTGGGGAGGGGGGGGAGAGGAGGGTTGCAGGGGAAGTATCAATTAAGTTACTGGTTTTTTAGTTTCAAAAGCCTAAGACCCCCTGGGAAATTGTAATGACTCCGTGCATACAAAAGAGACCAGAAGAGACTCTCCTATGTATTAACTAAGCTTAGAGTAGATTTAGATCCTCCTGGGTGAAAAATAAGGTGGTCAAGCCATATATAGATAATAGTGTATCCCACGACAATTTAGGGTGGGGTGACTGCATCTTTACCCCTCCTCCCACCACCTCAACTCATCTTGGTGGGGTCCACATGACCAGACATTAGATTGCAAGATTCAACTGAGTTACCTCCATTAAACAGGTATGAAATTCCAAAGTTAAGGGCCAGATCAAAATCCTGATTTTAAAAGAAAATCACAAGACAAGTCAGATGGCCCTAAGACCAACAAAATAATGTAAAGGATCAAAACAACAGACATTAGGAGAAGTTTTAAGAAAAGATTCTTGGATTGAGCTGCTACTCTATGGTAAGCCCCACTGCCCCGCCACCCCCTTCATCCCCCGCAAGAGAGCTGGAAGGTGCCACTTTTCCTTTCTCCAGTATTTACAGAGGCTTCAAAGGAACAAGGTAGACAGCCTAAATGTGTCCCCTGGAGTTTAGGAAACCCAGTGGACTGCAGACTGATTCTCACCTTGGAAATCTAGAGGGCAAGAGGGTCAGGCTAGGAGCATCTCTGGAATCTGAGAAGGACCTGCACCCTTCCTGCCCATCCAGGTACGTAAGATTCATGTTTTCATGAAACAGAAGTGGGCCATATATGAGAGAGCCAGCCTGAAGCCCAAGATGACCATCTAGAAGTATCACTGATACCCCAACGGAGAGTGCATGTAGAATGGACTATCTGAAACCCAGAAGCTCCACTAGAAAGTGAATAGCTAGAGGAGAAACCCTACCCAACTCAGGGGAGTTGAAGCTAGATGGGTCCAGCAGGGAAGCCACCAAGAACTCCAAAAGGAGCCATGTGAGTGTCAGTTTTAAATATCGTCAAGCCCAGAAAGCTTGGAGCCAGCTTAACACAGGACCATTTCAAGTAAGAAACATTCCCAAGCCATTTAATTCCTCTTCTTTCCATGCTCCAACCACTTTGGTTTAGCAATAGCTAGCAAGTGGGAGAGGAGGTGACAGATAGAGAAAAACCCCACACTCTCCCCGTGCAATTTTTGGCCCAACCCAACAATGGGCCCCAGATGGGGGAGAAGGGATGATGGATATTAAACTAACTTTAAAGCTATGATTATGGTCTGAGATTAGGCATTCTAATTTCTGAATGAAGACTATGTTTGTAATCTAAAGTGCCAAAAGAATTCTTTTTTTTTTTTTTTTTTTTTTTTAAATCCAAGAGTAGTCCTATTAGGGATGGAGCCTGCCTGAGACCTATTCTCCCTACTTCCCCCAGCCTAAGGCAAGGGAACTCCCACCACCCTTTCTGAATTCATTTTAAAGAAACAAGTAAAACAAGTAAATTGTGTTTTGATTGATTTCCTAAGTTGTGCTTGTTCAAAGTACTGTTACAGAGAGAAACCCCAAATACATGGGTGAGAGATAATGGTAGGAGGGAAAGGATGGTCTTTCTTGGATATAGCCAGGACCTTAGAGATGGCCAAGGCAGATATATCCCGGCAGATGGACCGGACCAGCCTTCCAAAGGACCCCATACACAAGAGCAACACAACAAGTATCATGTGCTTTAGAGTGGCAGGAGAGGAACAAAGAGCTTCATCCACCGACAAAGAGTTTCTTCTGGTCCAGCAGGAGTAACAGCATGCCCTGATATGCCCAGGAGGTATCTTGAAAATCCTGGAGAAGGGGAGTAGAAGATCCACAAAGGAAGATCAAGGTATGCCTCAGCAGTTTCCCACAAGTACTGACAAGGGATAGGAGGAAATCTGTGCCTAATGAAGAGATGGCAGCCAAAGAACAGGTATGTCATCCCTCAAAAGCTTGGTTATCTCATAACCTTCTAGAACTTAGATGCAACCCCAGATTGCTTCTGCATTTGGTTAAATGGAAGAGCAAAATGTAATTTGGATTTAGCTATAGAAAAATAAAAAGTTACATGTCTTGCACACTTAGTGTGTAGACAGAGACATACCTGCCACATAAGGGTAAGCTTGTCCAAGACTTCTAAGGATCCTCTTGAAGTATGTCTTTACACTGCAGCCTGATTAAAAAGCCTAGAAGAGAATTAAAGCTAAGTCATTTAGAGGTAGAATCACTGTGTAAAGAGGCCAACTCTGAAATGTTAGCTATCGGGGAAATACCAGTGGATTGTGATAAACTGAGCATGACATAATACAGAATATATATTACTATGGAACCCACAAATTCCACTTAGACATCAGCAGAAAGAAAGAGAATACAAAAGAAAATAGAAATCAGCTTCTTTGTTTTGTTTTTTTGTTGTTGTTTTTTTAAATCAAATGCTCCAAATTCCAGAAGAACACATAAAAAAGTGAAGGTATAGCAGAGAGTTCAAGATTCCCATCCCAGGAACATGGAATTTTTTAAAGTATCAAATATATTTTTACTGAAAGAGGAAAAATAAATCCAAATAAAGCATTAGATTGTGATAGGTGTGCTACTTTAGATAAAGTATTCAAGGTAAACATCAGATAAGCAGAGAACAGGATGAAGTAAGCAAACCCGAGGGAGGATCTTTGCCACCAGAGGGAATAGCAAGTACAAAGGCCCTGTGGTGAGAGGTTGCTAAGCAGGACCAGGGACAGCAAAAAGGCCACTATAGCTGCAGCATGATATGCAACAGAGAGAGAAGTAGGACATGAGTGAGGCTGGAAAGGGCCAAGGAAAGGTTTTGAATTTTAATGTAGGAGCCGGTAGAGGGCTGTCTTTTTCTTTAATTAAGCAATTTAGCTTGAGATAATTGTAGACTCACAGGCAGTTGTAAGAAACAGAGAGATTCCTGCACCATTTGCTTCATTTCCGCCAGTGGTAACATCTTACAAAACTATAGTATAATATCAAAACCAACATACTGACACTGATAGAGTCAAGATAGACATTTCCATTACTGTAAGAATCCCTCAAATTGTCTTTTTATAGCAATAACCATTTCCCTTCCCTCCCACCTCCACCATACACAGTGGAAATCACTAATTGACTTATAATTATTATAATTTTGCCATTTCAAAAATATTACATAAATGAAATCATACAATCAACATAATTCTCTGGAGATTTATCCAGGTTGGAGTATCAATAGTTCTCTAATTTTTATTGCTGAGTAGTGTGTTCTGTGGTAAGGATCATTTAACCATTCACTTATTGAAGGACACTGTATTGCTTCCAGTTTTAAGTTATTATGAACAAAGCTGTTGTAAGCATATGCATACAGGTTTTTGTGTGAACAAAAGTTTTCCTTTCTCTGGGATAAATGCCCAGGAGAGCAATTGCTGGTTTGTACTGGAGTTCTATGTTAAATTTTCTTTAAAAACCTGCCAAACTATTTTGCAGAATGGTTGTGCCATTTTATATCCCCATCAGCAATACATGAGTGAGCCAGTTTCTGTGCATCCTTGCCAGCATTTGGTGTTGTCATTAGTTTTTATTTTAGCCATTCTGCTTTTCTCTAATGATTAGTGATGATTAGTGATGCTGAACAAATAAGATAGCTTATTTGCTATCCGTATGTATCTTCTCCCATAAAATGTTTCTTCATGTCTTTGGACATTTTCTAATTGATTTTTTTTGACTGTAGATTGAAAGATTATGTTCCTAGTACTAGTTGTTCATCAGACACATGGCTTGCAAATATTTTCTCCCAGGGTGTAGCTTGTCTTTTCATCCTCATAAATGGGTCTTTCACAGAGCAAAAGTTCTTAAGTTTGATAAAATCCAATTTATCAATCTTTCCTTTTGTGGGTTGTGCTTTTGTCCAAAAATGCATTGCCTAACCTAGATCCTAAAGACTTTCTTTTTTTCCCTAAAAACTTTATAATTTTAGATTTTACATTAAAGTTCATGATATATATTGAGTTAATCTTTATATAAGCTATCATACTTAGCTCAAAGGTTTGTATTTTTTGTGTGTTTGTTTTTCTTTCTTTTTTTTTTTTTTTGAATGTCCAATGGCCTAACACCATCTGTTGAAAAGGCTATATTTCCATTGAATTAATTTTGCACCTTTGTCAAAAATCAGTTAAATATGTCTGTGTTAGTCAATTTCTGGATTCTCCATTCTGTTCCATTCATATATGTGCCTATCCCTCTACCAAGATCAGAGTCTTAATTACTACAGCTACATAATAAATCTAGAAATTGGGTGTGTTAATCCCTGTCACTTTATTTTTCTCATTCAAATTCATCACATCTATTCTGATTCCTTTGTCTTTTCATACAAATTTTAGGATAATTTTGTTTACACGTACAAAAAATCTTGCTGAAAATTTGATGGGAATTATATTAAATCTGCATGTCAGTTTGGGAGAACTGACATCTTTGTATTGGTGAGTCTTCCAGTCCATGAACATGGTATATCTATTTTTAGATAGTCCTGGATTTTAACATAATAGTCCTGTACATGTTTTTTTAGATTTATACCTAAGTATTTAATTTTTTGAGTAACTGTAAATAGCATTGTATTTTCAATTTTGCTATGCAGGTGTTCATTGCTGTTATAAAAGAATATAATTGATTTCTGCATGTTTATCTTGTATCCCACTACTTTGATGAACTCAGTTATTAGATTGACAAGTGTGTTCTTTAAGTTCCTTGGGATCTTCTACTTAAACAAAAATGGCACCTGAAAATAGGGACAGTTTTATTTCTTCCTTTGTGATCTCTATGCTTTTAATTTCCTTTTTTTTTTTTTTCTTTTGCACAGGTTAGAAATTCAAGCACTATATTAAATAAGAGTGATGAGTACACACATTCTTGACCTACTTCCTGATCTAAGGGGAAAGAATTCAGTCTTTCTTCATTAAAGGTAATGTTAGTTGTAGACTATTATGCATTTTTAATAGATGTTCTATATAAGGTTGAGGACATTCCTTGTTCCTATTTATCTGAGAGTTTTTACCATGAATGGGTATTAAATTTTGTCAAAAATTTAATTTTCCTATATGAATTGATAGAATCATGACATTTCTTCTTTAGCCTGTTACATAATGAATTACACAAATAGTTTTTCAAGTACTGAACCAGCCTCATATCCCTGGAATAAACCTCCCATTGATCATGGAATATATCTCATTTTATATAACTTCTATTTGTTAATGTTTTGTTAAGGATTTTTGTGTCTGTGTTCATGAGGGATATTTGTGTCTGGTTTTCTTTTTCTTTTCTTTCTTTCAACTGTCTGTTGAGTTTTGGTATCTGGATAGCACTACCATAAAAGAAATGGTTTTCTGAAATAGATTGTGTAGAACTGGTGTTACTTCTCTAAGTGTCTGTTAAAACATGCTAGTGAACATATCTTGGACCAGATTTTCCTTTTTGAAAGCTTAAAAATTTTATATATAATGTCCTTACTAACTATAGGGATATTCAAATTATCTATTTAATATTAGGTAAGTAGTGGTAGTTTGTGTTTTCTAAGGAATTGGTCCATTTCATCTAAGCTGACAAATGTGTATAGAGCTCTTTGTTATATCCCTGTATTACCCTTCTAATGTCTGCAAGGTCTGCAGTGTTCACTCTTTTTCTTCCTGATATTGGTATATTGTGTCTTTTCTCTTTATTTATTAGTCTTTATTAGTCTTTATTATTAGTCTTGCAGGGGTTTATCAATTTCATCAATTTTTAAATGGCCATTTTTTTAATTTTTTTTTATTTTTTTTAAAGAATTTATTTATTTGACAGAGATCACAGGTAGGCAGAGAAGCAGGCAGAGAGAGGAGGAAGCAAGCTCCCTGCTGAGCAGAGAGCCCGATGTGGGGCTTGATCCCAGGATCCTGGGATCATGACCTGAGCCGAAGGCAGAGGCTTTAACCCACTGAGCCACCCAGGTGCCCCTAAATTTGGAATTTTGGTCTTTTCCTGCACAGGTAATATGTGGTACAATATCTCTCAACTTACTTCTTTTTCATTGATTGTTTTTCTGCTTTCAATTTTATGGGATTTGTTCTTAACATTATTATTTCCTTTCTTCTGTTTCCTTTGGGTATATTCAGCTCTGCTTTTTATAGGTTCTTGAAATGGGAGGTTAGATTACTGATTTTTCTTTTTTTCTAATTATACATTTAGTGCTATAATGATTCCTCTTAGCACTTCTTTATCGGTGACCCACAAATTTTGATGTTGTATTTTTACTTTCATTCAGTTAAATGTATTTTTTACGTCTTTTGAGACCACCTTTGTGACCAATGGATTATTATTTAGAATTCAGTATGTTGCTGAATTTCCAAGTGCTCAGAGATTCTCACGTTATCTTTCATTATTCACTTCTAATTTGATTCCATGGTGGCCAACTTATAGATTCCATAAGACTTTAATTCTTTTTAAATGTGTTGAGATTTGTTTTCTGATCCAGGATATAGTCTCTCTTGGTATATGTCCCATAGTCACATGAGAAGAATATGTGTTTTGCTGCTGATGGGTGGAATTCTGTCAATATTAATTAGAGTCTATTGGTTACTGATTATGAGTTTTCTATATCCTTGATATTCTGTCTAGTTTTCTATTAATTGATAATGTAGGGGTATTGAAATCTTGAACTATATTTGTGAATTTGTCTATTTCTCTTTTCAAACCTGTCAATTTTTGCTTCATATATTTTGCAACTCAGTAATTTAGTGCATACACATTTAGGATTGCCATGTCTTTTTTAAAAAAGATTTTATTTATTTATTTGACAGACAGAGGTCACAAGTAGGCAGAGAGGCAGGCAGAGAGAGAGGGGGAAGGATGCTCCTTGCTGAGCAGAGAGCCCGAAGCAGGGCTCAATCCCAGGACCCTGAGATCATGACCTGAGCCAAAGGCAGAGGCTTAACCTGAGCCAACCAGGCACACCTACCATGTCTTTTTGATGGAACAACTTTTTAATCATTATATAATTATATAATATTTATTAATATTTTCCTCTATCTAATTATATAATATTTCCCTCTATCACCAGTAATTTTTTTTCTTTAGCTCTCAAGTCTACCATAACTGATACTGATATAGCAACTCTTGCATTTTTAATTTGTTTTCATTATACATCTTTATCTATCCTTTT